GATTTGACAGAAATAAAGTTCACCATTATTTTAAGCACGTTTGAAACTATAAATTGGGCTAAAAAAAGAGAGTACGAAAATTTCGTTTCAGTGGCACTAAAGCTTACAAGGCATTGCCTTCATGACAAACACGGAACAACAATCCTGTCGTAATCTACGCAAAGCGCTGCATATCCTAAATACAGCGACAAGGCATTGTGATATAAAACGCGGGAAAAACGCGTCCATTTTTCTCAAGGCGCTACGTTTCTCGCCCTTCGTGACACGAGATCACAGTCTGCACTAGCAATATCAAAATTCATCAAGCATAAAAAGACTGAAAAATAATGGACGAGAACCGACGGAGGTCGGTTCCTTTGAAGACACAAAGGACCGGCTAGAGCGTAGTGGGAAACTAATTAAAAGCCGCGCAATAATCAAGTATAATATCATTTTGATAATTCCATTTTTTATTAGCGCTTGTGTGCGGTATTTTAATTGTTAAAGTTCAATGAAAATAAATAAGGTATGATTCTTTCAGAACATACCATTAAAACTAATCCGGTACTGAACACAACTGTCATCGAGCTAGGTTTTTTTGCTAAAAAAATTCTTAGTTTAATTAAACTAATACTAAGAAGATACACATTATTATGCCTTTTTGAGCTTGCCAAAAAGACAAGGAAAAGCTTGTCTAGAACGTGCCCTGCCGCCTAATGTGGCTTCCGTTTTATTAGACTTACCCGACTTATTACGACGATCCGGGAGATGTGGTTACGTTTTATGGCTTATTGACTTCTTTATTATTGACCCTCAAGGATATCTTATGATGGTGGTGTTTATATCAATGTGTAATATATTGCGCTACCGTATTCGTGTGTTGTAAGCAAGTTTTTGTTCAACTGAGCCCGATGAAGTTGTCGCAGGAGGACTACCTACAATCATGAGTTCTTTTTTATTTACAGCGGCGAAAAATCAGAACCCTTATTACAGGGAGAAGGGGGATAGATGCTCCCTAACAGTAAACAAGATATCAGTGTTGTGCAGGTGCTAACAAGTTAGGTCACGAGAGGTATCTTTAAAAAATAAGCCTTTCTTCTCACCTAGCCTGTATGTAGACGCGTCTAAAGAAAATTGCCGACGCCTGGTGATTGACCAAAGGGAAAAAATGCCAATTTTTGTTGAAAATAGAGTCAACAGGATTGTGAACACTAGCAGGTTATTGTTAGAAATAGGTGTTGGCGTTGAAATTGTCAAGTGATGCCTCATTCCTAGCTACTTTTCAACTAAAAGAATGATAAAGAAATTTGCGGATCTCGTTAAGTTCATGACTGTATGGAACGTTTTTAACTACTGAGAAGAATCCAAAACAAGCTGCAATCATGATTTTGCTCTTAACTCTTTTCCACGCTTTCCGGTCAACTCTGTTGTATTTGTGCTCATACTGATCAGAAGGCATCTCAGTCGAAGGATACTGCTTCTCTTCGTTACACAAAAGCTTACCTGCTGCACCCCACTGATGGGGTCAGAATTAGAAAGAGTTTAAATACATTAACAAACGTACCAATCATGGTAACCAATTTGGGATGACAAAGAAATCTCGGATAAAAGTATAACCGCTTAGGCAGCGTCCGCGCGACGCTGGAGAAATTTGAAAACGCAACTTTATTTCTACGGTTTGGCCTACCGTCCACACTAATCCGTCACGAAAACGGAGCTTCGTTTTCGAAACCGCTCGTCAAACCAGAGGAATTTGAAAACGCTGGCCTTTCGTTTTCGTGTGGACGGAAAACGCTTTGAAAATGGAGCTTTTCGAAGACGATGTCGTTACGATAATCATGTGATTTCCCTGTTCGAGTATTTTTTTCGAAACACAAATTCAAAATCTGGACCAGTGGTTGCTGCGATTTTAAATTCCTCCGGCGTAGTGTGAACGTGAAATATTTGATGCGTTTTCAGATCGAAAACACTGTTTTCAAATTCCTCCTGCGTATTGTGGACGAACCCTTAAACACAAGTGTTCAGCGCGGAAAAAAAAAAAAACTGAAAGGAAGTAGAGTATTATATTCTGAAACAGTTCTGAATGAGGAAAATAAGCACACCAATTCTATGGAATGAAACGGATTAACAACTAAAATTAGCCTGAGATTCTGTAAATTGAATGTGAAATTTGGCTGAAGCTGACAGTGATGAACTTCTACGCAAATAATATTCGGTTGTTTCCTCTTTCCATCTAGAAAGCCCTTCCTTCATTGTAAAGGGATAAACAATATCTCTGAAGCGAGAGAGGAGGGCGGGAAGATGATGAGACACCATGAGAACGAGGTTGGGACAAGCTGATAATTTTCGTTATCCTCGTAACCTGTCTCCTTAGCAACGAATTGACAGGGCAATGACAGAAGAAAACAGACTTTGATCACCATTGGAAATGTCAATGATTGGACTGCAGCTGTATGTATTTGTCTCAGGCTCGCCTGTACAGTGTGTTTAAAAAAGGTCATTCTAAGTTACGAGTCTGTAGCTCCTAGCAAAGTTTAAGATACGTTTTTTGTTACAAACGAACATTTGAACGTGTCGTAATTGCAAATTATCTGCGTTAATCCAGTTATAATCTTTTCCAAATTGGATGCTCTAATTTTACTGCTGGATTAAGGGCGTTCTTATCACTCAGTTTTTCGCTCATCCTGGGTGTCAAATCTCTTAGGGGGGCCTTTTTCCGTTTTTTGTTCAAAAAACGTTTGGTAACCAGTTTAATCTTCGTCTTTCAGCGTTATTTTTTTGTTATTTCAGTTTCAGTCCGTGCCAAGCAAACTAAAATGTAATTTCCGCGGATCTTAAAGCGATATTTCATACTGAAGCATGGCACTCCGAAAATTAGATAAACACATTTCTAGTGGAGAAAGCATTTGTAGAATGAACTCTTAAGTAAAGCATTCTCTCGACTATAACGATATTTTAATCATGTTTCACTGAGTTTATATGGTAATTATCTCTGTATATGTTTTGTGCCTTGGGCCGTGTGAAGGAGCTGAGCTGATCTGTTTGAAATATCACGAAAACGACATTTTTCAGTAGGATGAAGAAGTCTATAGCCATTTAAGGGTTATTCTTAGAAAAAAATATATTTTTATCCATGTTGTGTCATTCATCGCTTGGGAAGTGCTTTTCAATAAACATCGCAAATTTGAAACCCTTGGCGTGAAATTGGTGAAAGCTTTACTCAAACCGAAGCACTCCTGGATAGAGTCTGGTGTGAATAAGGGCATCGATTTTTGGGTCAGGTCTGAAACAGGTCGGCTGGGCATGGGAAAAGTGTATAATAGATTTAATTAGGAAATATCCTAAAGAAAATACGCGTGGTGATTGGTTTAAATAGTGTTTCTATTTAACAATTAGATTAAGAGCTCGAGATTTCTGTCGCGCGACTATCACGCATAAAAATCGAGAGCGAATAATCCAATTGTTTTAGTGATAAGTCCTCTAGTCGTTTAAAACTATCGCGTGATAGTTGACGAGGGCTGTGCCCTCGTCAACTATCAACTATCGATAGTGAATAATCTAATTTTTTTTAGTATAAATCTACTAGTCGTTCAAACCTTTATCGAAATCCTTTTCATAGACACTTCGAAAACGCCCAGAAGCGGCCGTTATCAGAGAACGGCATTTGTGATAGAACGCTATGCGCTAGTAGATTTATACTAAAACAGAATAGATAGTGAGTAGCATGGCCAATCAGAGCACGGCATTCGTGATAGAACGCTAGCAGATTTACACCACTTGATAGAAACATGTTACATGCTATATGCTTCTTAAAAAGAGAAAGGTTTCAAGAAGCACCCCGTTTAGGCCCCAGTACCCCTCCCCCCGGGTTGTTCACCTCATCGCTACATGCATTGATGCGCTAAATTACTGAAGCTCGATTCAGTTCGCTTCCTGTAGATTGCGGATCTTTCCATAGGAACTACTGTCAACTCCTGTGCGTCAATTGGCTCATTACCTGGTCTGTAGCACGAAGTGATTAGAACTACTACTCCAGTAACTGTCCAATCACAGGTTACCCCCGGAGGGTTTTGTCAGTCAGCACTTACAAGGGTGGTAAATGATAGATGCGAGACTTTGCGAGAAAGTGACAATAGCGTTTTTCTTTGCGAGCTCGAGACAGTTTGACTTTTTGAAATTGCGAGACCGAGACTTCAAAGTGTTTTAAATGCGAGCACGAGGCATTGAGACTGTAAGACCTTCAGAAGTCAAAAAAGGAGACAGACGAAAATTTTGCGAGACTCCTGTTTTTTGGAGGATCATTCGCCGCCCCTCGTACAATTGGTCAGTACCCTGAGAGGAAAGAGGCACCGTGAGGGTAAAGTGTCCTCCCAAGAACTAATAAACACATCAGGAGCAACGACCGGTCTAGAATACTACTGGTAGTAACCAAAGATTATGAGTGCGTTCGACGCCGTCACTTAAATATGTATACCTTAAATGATTTCACTAGCTGACTTGTCTATTGCTAAAATCAATATTTTTCAGTTAACAACCGAGGTTTTACAGACAGATACATCATAGTGTCAAAGTCAATGCCAATGAAGAGGTCCGCTACAGTAGCAACGACCGGTATAGGATACTACTAGCTTGTTGTACTCTGACTTACCTCCTAATATTTTGCCTTCTACCAATGAAGCTGAGAAACAGAAGATGCTAGCGAAGAACGTCTTGTTAAACTTCGTTACTGACGCAGGACGGTACAGAATGAATGCTCTGTTTTGTGTAGCATTAACTGAATCAAGCGCGGCTAATCTAGTTGTTAAATGTCCACGTTAATTAGGCCTTCCTCGATAATTTTAGCTCTTTACCGCAAAATCTGACAAGTTGCCCAATGAACCAAGCTAGATGATTTGTCTTTAGGAGTTTTAGAGACGGAAAAACGCTAACTAACTTAACTGTAACTGGAGGCGTTTCCGGATAAAGAGTGGAACTAACCAAAAGGAAATTCCTTTTATAATCAGAGAATATTTGGGTTGCTTTGTTGCTTAACCAAAAATGCTAGCGCGACACGAAATTCAACCACCTCCACTCTGCGGTCAAAATTTAGGGAGAGTATGACGGAAGCTCTACAGAACCAAGAGAAACGCGATTCGGTGTCAATAAAGCCACGCTAAAGCCCTTATTATAATCAGCAAAGGAAAGTGCAATGTACGTCAGAGCAATGCTTAGAGATTAAAACGGAAAAGCAGGGCTACTGAAGGGAAACTTGTCAGTTTGAACTTCTGATTTGGGAAGTAAAGTATGAAAGTCTTGAACGATGGAACCAATTTTTTTCAGGTATTTTGGATAACTTCCTGCAATTTTAATCATTTCAGGTAGTTTGAAGGAAAAATTAGATTACGAAAGCTGAAGTATTAATCCAGGAATCCAATTTAGTCCCAGGCATAAGAGGTTTATAAAATTCACGCACACTATGAATTTGAAGTTTTCCTTTGTTCCAGGGGTCCAAAAATAGAGGGTCGCGAGTCAGGGGTTGATAAGCTGTTATATTACAAACAAAAGTCGCGACTTTGATACATCTCTAGCCAATCAACAGTTAACGAACAGACGCGGGAAACATATCGTTTTACTGAGATCTGATTACAATTGTCGCTTCGTCGTACATTCCCCTCGAACACGATTTTTTTTTTCCTGTGCAGAATGAGTTAATTGGCAGTAATTCGCTAAAGGACTTCGTATTGAGACATACCTGACGCACTGGTCGCTCATGTAATTAAATTGGGCATTGCCGCTGAGTGAAGTTTTGTGGGCTTGAGTTCATTACCTTTCTTCTCAAGTCGGATTAACATCAGACCGATAAAGTTGAGTTGAGTGACTGGATGGAGAAATCTGTTGGTAGTAGATTGACCGTACTGAACTGATTCATGGGCGATAGGCTATCAAGTTGATAATTACAGCGCTCGCCGAGATTAATGAGTGAATAGCTGAACAGACATGTGGCTTGAATAGAAAGGACGACTTTTAAAATGCAGTTTAAAGATCTTCAGTAGACAGTGTTTTGAAGCTCTCATCGGAACCCAACCATCTTCAGTTTCCTCCCTTAGTGTTTGGTTTAGTTTCACCTTTTTCGTGTTTTTCTAACTTAGGAAACTGTTATACTCAGTGACAATTGTAATAAATTCAAAGGGTCTCTGAAGAAAAAATGGCACATCAAGCATATAAAGTAAGAGAAACGAAGTGTTGAAATCAAATAAAAAGTTTACAATAACCATGCATCAAAAGTATGCGTTAGATACATCAGCAAAATAAGAAAAAAAATTCCAATTTCAAATAACTTTGAACGACTGAAGTGGCGCTGAACTGTCATAACACAGTTGAAAGTTCAATATCCATATATTCCGTCAAATTACATTTCATTCTTTTGCCGCGAGCTGATTGACATTTTCGACCATAGCCTTGCATTCCATCTTTAATGAAACCAAGCTCACAACATGCGATGTTTAATTTTGTTTCTTTTTTGAACCAAATTACAACTCTTGTTAAAGTTATGGACTAGACTTCTATTCAGAGCCATCTCGACAACACGCTAGATAAGAAGCTATTTTGGTTGTTCTGTCTTAGCCCGTCGTTAGCAGCCCGAGGGTTTTGTTAAAGATATCTAATGTTAATTGAAACCTCTTTTGTTTAACTAAACTGTGAAGTCGTACTCGATAATAGTTACCCGATAGAGGACTATTCCAAAGGAGCTCTAGTCAACAGCGTCAAACACTTAGAGAGAAAGTCATCTTACTAAATCATTTTTGGCGCTACGATCCATTGAAGGTTTTGTCTTTGATTAATAAACAGGGCACGGTGTGATCGATATGGTCTGATGTCAGATGACACTGTTTGTCGGGATCGTTTGATAATAACTGATACACAACTAATATTTTTACAAGCGGCGGTTTCGAAGATGTAAATTTAGGGTCTCACCCGCACAGGCCAAATATTTGCCATTTCGCCCGCCACAGATTATATATCAAACATCAGGGATTTGTTTATTTGTTTGCATATCTATTATCTTGATTATCCATTTTTGAGATGCTATCTACATTAAGTATGTCCGATCCTTTAAACTTCAATAAAACTTACGGGTTCAAGTTCTTTATCGGCGAACTACCTTAATGTTGTGGTTTATGGGGCTTGGGCAATGTGACAGTGATAATAAATTTCGACATTGTGATATTAAACATGTTATATTACGGCACCTGAAAATCGATATTTCAACTCTACGGAGATCATTAACCCATTAGATGGATAAACACCGTTTCCAACAAGCCTCTCTTCTTTTGAAATTGCATTTCCATAGATATGGCGACCTCAAAGCTTTGAGTCTTATACTTGCTTGACTGATTCGTTAATTCTTGTGAGACAAGACTTTGTTAGCATGTTGGTCTGCACGCAAATCAAGGAGTCCGAGAACTGCGATGGATTTCTCAAATCATTTTGGTAAACATATTTCTAGTTAATTCTCAGAGTGTGAAATATGTATATTATCTCTCACCTTGGTTAATAACTTTCTCTTTCAGCAAATCTCAGGCGAAAACTTGGAGCGCAGTTTCGGTCAGTGAAGAGTCAACTATCTTGACTCGAGATTCTGAGAGCAATTGGATAAGCCTGTCTGAATCAATGTAACCTTACACTGTATATCTTGACCAAAAGACCAATTGGTCGACACAAACAGCTACTTGTCAATCTGTCAGTGAATTCCGCCAATTTAGGAGCATGTTTTTGTGATTATAACCTCCGGATTTACTAAAACCGAGCAATCGAGCTTCAGTACTGTACAACGGGAGGCTTTGGCTGTGGTCATTTGGCAGCTGTCAATCAAAACCCGGCTACACCAATTATATAGCGACAAGGGGTGGCTCTTCCCCTTTAATTATAAAATACATTTGACACCGTGTGAATGGCAGATTGAATCTTCTTCATTTACACACCATTCCAGTCTACGCATGGTTGCCCAGTCAAGGAAAAACTGCTATTAAAATAACCTGTTTACAGTTTTTGTTTGTTCTCGAGCTAAACGCACAACTCTACCTCTGCGCAAAATCACCGAACGGTGTCTTTTCGTGCGAAATTTCGTTATGACATGCATCCGGACAGTGGACTTCGTTCAGATGATAAATAGCTCTAGTCTGAATGAATAATAACCAGCTGCGGAAAGAACAACTGTGAACAGCTTGAATAAGCTCACCCTTTGGCAAAACTGATCACAAACAATAAACTGACAACAGTCAATAGAAATGAGATCACTTTAACATTTGTGGTGTTTATCTGTTTTCTGTCTCTTCTATTTTAATCTGCAACACTGATTATCACTGTGTTGTGGCTTACGGTTTGAACTGACGAAAGATGTTTTACCGATTTTGGCGCAGAGTATTCCACGATCGAATTTAATTTGCACGCATATGGCAAATGATATGGGCTCAGTGCCAGCGTGTAGCTTTGTTCTAAGAAAAGCTCAACATGTAACTTACAGCTTGATGGGTTTTGCAATGTTTGGAGGAACAAGGACAAAGTGTAAAAAAAAACCTAGAAGCGACAGTATTTAGAGGGTAGATGTCACTATTTGTGTTTCATAATAACGACTTCAATTTGAAGAAAAAAAACTGCTTGATCGTAGGTTAATATTTTCACTTAAATGTCGTCCTTACTCTTGGAATGTCCATCCTTCGTGTGGCTCATTCTTAACAACAAAATAAATTTGCGTGTTTTGTGACTGTAATGGAAGTTTCCAGACATTGCAAAGTATTAAACGAGACTATGCGAGATTTAATTTAAAGAAGAAAAAAAGGATCAATGACGCAGTCAGTATTTTTTTTTTTGTCTGGGTCTGTCACATGAATAGAATTTTCTGTTCACATAGTTAGTATTTTATAAGACGCTGTCTGTCTGTTTCTAAATGCTTGTTGAAATGTAAATGAAGGGTATTTTAGCGCCAAAAATTACTGTCTAAAGACAGGTTGAAAAAACTTCATTCCGTACACTGGGACAGTTGAAACCAGGACTTATGTCTCCCACATAATCCCCGGGGCACAATGGGCGTGTATGCCGATTTGGGGATCAACAACACCAGCTTTTAGTTACATCGTATAGTTTCACTGAGTATGATAGGCTAAGCCTCGTCAATTTAGGTTGTTGGGATGTTTAATGTGATAGGGCTCATCTTACATATCATGTGTGCTTAGTGTGCTTGCGTGTGCTTTTATCGCTTTTTTGTCTTCCTTTGCTTTTGCGCATCAGCGCGTTTAACTTTGCTCAACTACTTTTTATCCTAAATTGTGATAATTTTGTGTACCGATGAAAGCAGTTTTACGTAAGTCTTATTGACTTCCCTGGGCTTCCCTGCCTGGTACATTGATATGTTGTAACTATACTTATAAATAGAAAAAATACAACAAACAAACACAAAAACAACAAATTACACGTTAGAATTTTTGATAGTATAACATAAGTTTTCAAAATTATCAAGGTGTAAATTCTCCTTTCATTTTAATACTTTTTTAAGACGGCAGGTGATGAGAATAAAGACAATTCTTATCTGCCGTGATCAGGGCGTACCTCAATGATTTTCTTCTGTGGGAGTCACTTTCAGGAAAGTTTATACGCTCGCTCGAGTCATGTGCGCGCCCAAGTCATGCGTTCTGGATGGGTTTTTGCAATAAAAAGAAAACCTCCCCCCTCTCCACAAGAATTGTAATGTTGTTTACTAGCCGAATTTAAGTGTTACGTTGATTATGTTGATTGTAACATTGATATCTCTTCACTAAGACTTTCATCGTGTTTTTCAATTAAGAATATACGCCATAGTCCTTTGGTCTGTCGTTATAAGAGGGAAACTTTGCATCAAAGCTGAATGACATTTAGCCTTAAGCACTTCACGATCACGGTGGGCGTTTGTACAGGTGCAGAGATTGCTGACAAACCATTAATCATTCTCCAACGCCAAGATTAATTAAGTAGCTTCGCATCTTTATGAACTTAGAACTAAAAAAAAATGGCAGCTCAGAGTCTGTGATCTTGCCATGTAATATAAAAATGAAAATTGCCATTAGTTTCTTCAACCATGATCAGCAATTGTTATATATCTCAGATCTCCGGGGAATCTGCTGCTCGTAAGTATACGAGTTATCCAATTATGTGTTATTATCCTCCGATCCCAGTAGCGCATCGTATTTTTCGATCACTTAGCAGCAATAAACACCCGATATTATAGTTTCAGGACAACGCCTAACGACAGGCGGCCATTTTGAGCTAGATAGATTAAAGGTTGAGTTCTACTATCGTGTCATTTTACGTGTAAGAAATGGGGACCACCCGGGGGGGGGGGAGGGAGTGTGCTCCCCTGATCCCTTAAAATTCCACTTTTTCTCCGCTGTTCCCTATTAATAAATTCATTGTTCCCCAGACTTTTTTGCCAAAGTTCCTTTAATAGTAGAGATATCTCTTGTTCCATCAAATTTATCCCAAAAATATCCCTTGTTCCCTCGAAATAAAGTAACATGTTCTCTTCTTCCCAAAAACCCCTTGGATACCCTCAGAAATCTGTTAACTAGTTTACTACAGTGCGAATATCGAGGTATATGTAACTGCATTCTGGTTTTCCCTTCTTCGTACACACTCAAGTTGGATGTTATTGTTGTTCTCGAAGTGTATCAAAACAAAGCAAAAAAAAAAAACGTTTCTTAATATTAATTGTGTTAGAACATCATTTCAAGATCGGACGACTGTTTGAAAATGGACTTTGCCCCACTTTCCTGTTAAAACTAATGATGTTGGTTTAGTAAAGTTTGTTGGCTAAAGAATGAAACGCTTCATCAGTGCTGACCGCAAAGATACAGCAATGCTTACACTTAGAAGCTTATGGTATGGCTGATCAGTTTGTTAAACAATGCCATTCCGTATTGAGTGTTTTAATACACTAAGTAACAACAATGATATTAGACCGTGAATCTGTCGTATACAAACTGCTTACCCCCTTAAACTGGTTTGAAAACTGATAAAATGAAAGCAAAACAAAAAACCTTCTTTGAAAACCGAAGAAGAGTACAAACATTATAGGATATTAAAATAAGAATGAAACGCAATTGTTAACATTGCAAAAACGCGGAAATTTTGACTGAAGTTCAGTTTAAGTAAACTTACGAATCCTCCAACAAACGTTTCTTAGCTTTAATGAGTGAATGATTTATATTGATTTTTGCTTTGCGGTGTAAAGTTGCATGATTCTGCCGAACTTATATAGTTCACGTGCTTTGTGGAATAGCTTCGTTTGTTGTTCCAAGTACGCACTAAGCAGATTACGGTACTTAAAACTTCAGAACAAACAAGTCAATTAATGATGTACAACTTGTGGCTTGGTCTGTTGTTTTATCGCTAGCAAATATCACCGAAAAGAAAGTTTTGGAATAGTAACAAACATAATTAGTTAAGGACATCCACCCTAACTGTTGTTCTTATATTGTACTTTCCTCGTGGCGTGAATTCACATCAGTAAAGCTTATTTAGAACTCTCTAGCATCAAGTGGACTGAGGTTAATTCTAGTCCAAGCGGGACCGAAGCAAAACAGGCGAACCGAGGGACATGCCTCAATCATTTTTATTGCGTTTTCGCTGTTTATAGTCATTTTTAAAACCCTAAATACCTAGAAAGAGAATTAAACCATTGCATGACATTGCTTCAGTCATGTAAATTTCTTCATATAGATATTGCCAATCATAGTTTATTTTTTCGATTCTGGCAACGGCCCCGCCAAGTGCCATGATACTAAAGCCTGAAAGAAGCTTCTGTTATATACTTAAAAGGTCCTTGGTATTTGTGTTTTATCGATAAAAAAAAAGCTCACAGGATGGAACAGGAAGTTAAATATTAAACTCAATGGAAGAGTATTTACCAACACTGCCAGATTATAGTGCAAAGTAAACAGTCTTGCATCCTTCTCATTTTTCCTTTTTAAAGCTTCCACGTGTGGTTCAAAATGGTTCAAAATGGTTCAAAATCGATCTTTCGTGATTGTTAAAAGTTTGACATTCAATGAATTTTTCAAGTTTTTCTTTTTAAGTGTCGCTCGGCAACTGCAGCTGGGCAGAAAGCCATCAATGCAAAATGCCCAAAATAGCGTAACCAGAGAATACTTTAAGCCGTAAAGCGTGCTTTGCAGTAAATATCATTCCACACGCATGTAGTATCTGTACTTGAAACTTAAGTTAATAGCAGGTTGAGTAAGTGGTTTAGAACTAGTGGTTTTATTCTGTGTTTTTTTTTTTTTTTACAAATAAATATTACCATAAATACAAAGTTGTGGTAAACGCGATTGTCTCTCTTAGTATCACCCTAGCTTTTGTTCGTATTGCTTCATGTGTATCTTAGAACTCAGTCAATCCTAATGTGTTTGATCATTCATTCATGGCACTGAATAAAAGAAAAGGAAACCTTATTATTAGCAGTCACGCCTAGTGAACGTTCACAAATAAACCAAAATGATAAAA